TTTGCATTAGTGAAAAAAAAAATTGCTGGTGATTTGGATCAAGGATAAGGAAATTTATTGTGCTAAATTTCTGCCACCTACTATGATTTTTAAGTCACATATGCATCAGTTAGCCAGAATGTCTCTCATTTGATTGCAAATTTCAGTTAGCTCTGAAAAAGTAGTTTCGAGTGCGCTGTGAGAGAGAACACTGTTAGCAGCTAGTGCCATGCAGCAACAGAGTAGGTTTTCTTGAGGAGCTGTGATTGCCCTGTAATTGGAGTGTGAAAGTGTTCTATCTGAAACAGTCTGTGATTCTCTCCAGTGCGCAGACACCAAAGGGCAGAGCTCTGTGATATGCCAAAGGAAATAAAGATAAAATGTTAAAACAGTGCTGGAAGGTATACAATGAAAAGCAAAAGTCTCCCCACCCAGTGCCTCTGACCCAGTCCCATTCGCCTAAGCGTCTGTGTTGGAGATTTTCCCTGTCATCACAGGGCACGTGCCCATCTGTGGTGAGATAGCTCAGGGTCACCTACGCACGGCTGTCTGCCGCTGTGACTCTTAGAAAGGGGCAGTGGAAGGGGCACTGAGTTGGAGTCAAAAGACTGGGTCCCGGTCCTCAGAAATCCTTCACTCATTTTTGTGATCTTACACGAATCATGTATTTCCTCATCTCTAAAATGAAAGATTTCTCATCTCTAAAATGAAAGAGCTGAGTAGATGACTTCCACATTCTCTTTCCAACGCTGAGCTTTAAAGGAAACACCCCATGACTCTATGAGGGAAAACAAGTCATTACAGTATACCCGGAAAAAAACACCCAAAGATATTCTTGAGTTGCTTGTGTGGACAGAGTTGTCCGGTCATCATTAGCTAACGCACGTGCGTATTAAGTGTGGGAACATGCTGTCAGAGATAGACTTATTCTGCTTGGGGAGAAAGTGGTGCTGGGGGTCAGGGGCTGGATTGGCAGGAGAGAAGGGGGCCCTGGTGAAGATGGGCTGAGATACTTGTAGGTGATCTTGTACACTGTGTGTGGCCTCCAGTCCACAAATGAGGTCACCCACTTAATAGTTTGTGATCTTGGGCAAACTCCATTGGAGCTTCATTTTCCTTATCTGTAAAATGAGGAGAATAATACCTTCATTATAGAATCATAGCGAGGCACACAGAAGGTATTCGATAAATAGTAGTTGTCGCTTGTGTTACTAGAATCACTATCACAAGAACAACTATGAAAATCCCCCTACCACCCAGGTGGGCTCCATGGCATTTATGGGTTGTGTGTCTCCATCTTTAACAGTAGCTACAGCTCGTAAGAGGCCCTTGTTGACAGAGCAGAGCATTGTAGAGAGTAAAGTGCATGGGAGATGCTGTCTGTAGCCTTGAAGGGCTTGTGTACAATTAAGGAGCTATTTAACAAACAGTGATAACCTACAGATCTGTTTGAGGAATCTAAAAAAGTACCAATGTAAATTTCAGTCATAAATGCTGTGTGAGTCACCAACAGGGTAGAAATAATTATATGTGCATTAAAGTTTTTTTATTAGTATTTTAATTGTAAATTCACCTGTGGTCAACACAGTTGGAAAGCATTTTTCTCTTACTTGGAAATCCAGGGTGGGAAGGACCTCAGGTGGAGTCACTCACTGACAGAGCTGGCAGCTCGCATGTTTTTTTCTCGCCATTGTCAGTATCAAATGCTGCCAGGGACTCTCCTTTTCTTCCCTTGGCTCCCGTGCTTTCTCACGGATTCACCCCAAAGACCCAGTGTAGAGTCTTCCATTATCTAAGTAGTTAAGGCACCAGTTTTTTTGGTCTGCGACTAGCCAGCTGATTGAGACTTAAAACATTTTGGGGCCTGAGTCATCTGGATATTTGCCTCCCTGCCCCTGGCCTGGGTTGGCGAGCTCCATCTCTGTGTGAAGGGGGAGGAAGGACAGTGGCCGTGGGCAGGTCGTGCTTGCTCCTATCCACATGGCCTTCAGAATCCTGGGGAGGGGAGGTCTTCATTGCTTAGTTCTCCTTTTTTCTTTAATCTTCTCACTTAGATCCTAAGGTCAAGGATTATACCTGAGGTTACTAGACTGAAGCTAATGCTACTGTTTCTTGGGTTTTTTTTGGAGACTTTCAGCCAATATTTTATTTTATAATTTTATTATGGTGAGAACACTTAACATGAGATCTGCATCTTAAATTTTTAAGTGCACAATGCGGTATTGTTAACTAGAGGCGCGATGTTGTACAGCAGAGCTCTAGAACTTAGTCACCTTGCATAACTGACACTTTATACCCATTTACTGTGAGACGAGTTTGTAAGATTTGGAAGGGATCTCACAGTGCATTTATTCTGACCTCCCTCCTAGACTAGGAATCTCCTCTGGGGTACCTCTGCCAGCTTCTGACAGAGCTCTCCAGTGACTAGGGAACGCCCTTTCTCATAGAGCAGTCCATGTCATTTTATCATTTTCCATAGCGCTAATTATCAGATAATCAGACTAGAATCTGGGGCCCTGTAACTCTGACCCATTAGTCCAGGTTTTGTCCTCAGAGCCTATCCAGTCGAATCCCAGTTCTTCAGGACAGCCTGGTCTCCCAGACGGTGGCTGCTCTAGGTGGGCTTGTGGCCCAGCGGCAGCAGCCGCCTCACCTGCGCAGGTGCAGCTCAGGCTTCACTCCAGACCTGCTGAACTGAAATGTGCATTTGGGCAAGATCTTAGTGGTTGGCACGCGCAGGACAGTTTGAGAAGAGCAGCATTAGATAACATATACCCCCCACCCCAAATTGTTCTTCTTTCAATTGCTATTGCTGTCAGGCCTGCTAGTGTTCAAAAAATCTTAGTGGAGGAAGAAACAGTTGACAAGAAGCAACAACTCCAACTCTCAGTAAGTGCAGAATTGGTCTGACATCAGTTAAAGCTGTCATTATATTAAACTGGAATTCTATTGACGAGTATTTCAATGTGTCCATAGTACTGACATAAAAGATAATATCGATGATCCTGAGGCTTTAGAAGATCATAAATGCTTTAATTGTTAAAGAAACGTTAAATGATGCTCCACGTGATTTAATTTGGTATTGCTTTGTGATTTTTAAAAACCTGATAAAGAGACTGAGTGAATAATCAGAACAAGCCACTCTCCAAGTCATGCCGGCTGGAGCCAGCCATAAAACTCTCTTCCACACCACTCTTCAGATGCGGGAAGAATGGAAGCTTAAATCATTTTCTGTTTCTGACATCACCGCAAGGGCAGTGATTGAGAATCCAGCATTTAAAAGGTGCCCAGGAGACGTACACTGTGGAAACAGCTGTGCTGGAGGGAAGTGCTTTCAATTCGTGTACTCAGCAATATGGAAATGAACTTTGCCAGCTCATGAGCCTGAATAAATGCTTAGCTGCCTTCCCAACGACAAAGCAACTTTCTATATTTGGCACTTTTTAGACATTTGTTAAAACAGACTGAATTTAACGGCGGTTGACAATGCCAGACTGTCTTCGGTTAAAGTCAAGCAAAAACCTTAAGAAGCCTCTTCCCTGAGACCCTGTCATATTTCTCTCTCCACCTGGTATTCATGGTGAGCTTTAAGCCTGACCCCTAGGGCAGGACATCAGCCCAGCCGTGTCGTGCTAAGTCAGCAGGGCCTTGATTTCTGCAGGGGCCCAAGTCCACCCTTTACTGTGTATCTGAGGACCTTCAGCTCAAGGTACATGTCCTACTCCTGGGTCACCAGGTGTGGAGCACAGGTGGAACGACTCCCTGACACCTGGTCCCTTTAGCCAGGAGAAACTGGAGTCTTCTGCTTTTTTCTGTCCTAAGTACCAATTGACCCCAATCTAGTGCACATTTTTGAAATCCTTCACCCCAAGGGCTCTGTGGGGCCGTTTCCTACCTGCCTTGCTCCTCAGACTCAAGTCATTCACTAAATATTTATTTAGGGCCCCTATGTTTCAGGTAGTGAGATTATAATAAATGAGACCCAGTCCCTGTCCTCATGGAACCCACATTCTAGCTAGGGAGACAGACAATGCCAGGGAGGATTGTGTAAGTGCCAAGATGGGAGAGAATTCCTGCCCCCAGGAAGAGGTTTGGGGCTAAATGAGAATTCATGGCTGAGAAGTAGATGGGGCAGACATTCCAGATATAAAAGAGTGTGTGAGCAAAGACTTGGCAGCATGAAAATGCACAGGCTTGCATAAATTTTCAGAATTCTTAGTGTTTTTCTTTTGTATTCTTTCTTAAATTCTTTTTTAGTCAATTGAAATAATCTGAATAGTCAACAATGGAGGATTAATTGTAACAACTGTTTTCACCTCTTTAAAATTGCAGACAGCTCAGAAGAGCAATAATTGACCAAAAAAAAAAAGTTTTTGAAACAAAAGAAAGAGAGAGAAAACAAAATTTCTGGAAAAAGAGGATGAAAATACTTATTGCCAAGGCACCTTTTTGATGCTTCAGGATCTCCAGTATTTAAATTCCTAGAATTCAAAGATATTAACTTGCAACTAAATCATTATTTCAACCAAGTTGTCATGTTTACCAGCTTGCGTCCAGTCTCATGTTTTTCAGCCGATTCGTAGGTCGATCTTCCTATATTCCCATCCACTTCCTCCCCTCCCCCACTTCCATCCTGATGTCTGTAGCTTTTGGTTAGAATTCAGACTGGAGTCTGGTGCTGAATCAACAGGAGCTGTGTGATAATGTCAAAGAGAACAAAAACGGAACTTATAGTCAAGTCTAACTTTCGCTGTGGTTGTCAAGGTTTAAGCACCAAGAGAGGGAAATATTCCCTTCTAAGAGAGAGCTTTTGAAAAAAGAAATAAAATTTGATACCATTAAATTATAGCATTAAATCTATAAAGTCCAGGCACTGTATAAAAATTTAATTTTAATCTTTTCTCCGCAAAAAACCTAGCCAGACTCACCATCCTGGATGGATTTACTAATAGGCTGAAGTGCTTCTTAACATGATTACTTTTAAAGAAAGCCGTTTAGCATGAACTCTTTTGTTGGAACAGGACAGCTGGGAAGTGGTGGAAGGACTGAGGGGAGAGATGAATTACACCCAGGAGCCACCAGTTCAGAAAGGATTTTTGCTGAAAAAGAGGAAATGGCCCTTGAAAGGCTGGCACAAGGTAGGACGCGGGCCTTGGCCTCACCTTCATTTGTACCCACACGGCCCCACTCAGTACCCAGTTCTTAGGCACTTGTACTTAACTTGAAGTTGAAAACTGGGACCAAGGAAAGGACGGACATTTAGATGAAATGTCTTAATGAATCACGCTTTCTTCCCCACAGAGATTCTTCTATCTGGACAAAGGAATCTTGAAATATGCCAAGAGCCAAACAGATGTAAGTCGTTTTATTAATCCAACGTGCTGTTGGAGAATTCTGAAGGGCTAATTGTTGTCAGCTCATGGATGGGATTGTGCACATTTGGGGATTGCATTTCTCTGAACTGGAAACCACAGAAGGGTAATAGTTCCTTCACAGGGAACAGAGGTGCCTGGTCCCAATGGCCCAGCTCTGGGGTTCTCGGTAGGCTCAGTTCACCTGCCAAGAGGAGGTGTGGGGGCCCCTCTCAACACCCTACTGGGTATCCAGGGGTCTGTTCTGGTCTTAGGGTTGTGCTGAGAGGTTCGCCAGGTGGGAGAAGACATTTTACAGCAAGATAACAGGAACAAAATATAGGGTGTCATTCGCACTGTTATAGTGGCTGAGGGTTTAGTGGAGAAAGCCCTTCATGAAGATGACGTGAGGTGCACTGCAGTTAATAGGTGAATTCACTGGCGTGGGAGTCAGTCCATGGGGCTTCCTTTCTTGTCTTCTCACTTTCTGCTTCCTTACTTTCTTGCTGCCTCATTACTGGCTGTGTAAACCACTTGTTACCCAACCCCTCTGTACGTCAATCTCCTCGGCTGTAAAATGGAGAGAGTGCTTCCTACCTCACAGCTTAAATAAGAGAATGCATGTACAGCACTTAACTCAGGACTGATTCACACCAACTGCTTGGGAAGTCATAGTTATGTTTACAACTAGTAGATGTGGAAGATGAGGGTAGAGGCAAGGAGTGTCAAGCATGTTACTACTGTTCTTAACACCGTGGTTCTTAAGAGGCCCTCTTCGTGCCTCTGCAGATAGAGAGAGAGAAGCTACATGGCTGCATTGATGTTGGGCTCTCGGTGATGTCTGTAAAGAAGTCATCAAAATGCATCGACCTGGATACTGAGGAGCACATCTACCATCTGAAGGTGAGACTGCTTCCCAGGTGCCATCTCCTGTTGCACAGAGTTATCATCAGTTATTGTGCTATTGGTGATGCCTTTTGAGTATTTCAAAACAGTCAGCCAACACGTGGAAGATCTTCATTACAAAAGTATTTGTAATGGATGCTCTTGGTCTTTGGATGGGAGAGTTCTTCATTGTGCAGGCTGTCTCTTCCACTGCCGAAGGTTTAGCATCCTTGTCCCCTCATTCCTTGAATACCCCCCTCCACCCCATGATTGTGACAACAGTCATTTAGAAAAAAATCTTCATGTTTCTGAATACAAACCTTACCCTGCCCCCAGGCAGTACTATGTTTAGTGAAGAACTATTTACCGTAGTTTAAAATATGTTTCCTGAAGTGCAACATAACATTTCGTCTCTGGAGCCCCATCTTATAACTTGGGCTAATTTTATAGGGATTACATTAAAATTCTCATATTACAGTGAAGGTCAGGAATTTTTCTTCTAAAGTATGGACCTCCAAATAGTATCTCTCAAAGTGCTTATCTACCCTCTTCTGCCCTCTCCTGCAGGTGGTGTAGATAGTTAAAAGCATGAAGTCAGAACTTTCGAGATCCAGATCTGGTTACATCTTGACCTGGCTACTTCCTAAGCTGTTGGCCTTGGGCAAATTATTTAATCTCTGAAAGTCTTAGTTTTCTCACCTCCCAAAATGAAAATGATTATAGTACTCGTCTTGTAGGGCTGCAGGTAGAAAACTTGGCATAATGCCCGGCCCACAGTAAGCTCAATAATGTTAGTTATTGTGTGTAATTATCAGGTGGTACCGAATGTTAGAAATTAATTGAGAAAAATGTTAAGACTGTTTTCTTATTTGGGCAAATTACTTGGACTATTGGGAAGGTGGGCTGAGGGCTGAAAAAACAATAGCTTGAGATTGTGAGCTCCATGTCTTAAGATGTCCCTGTCTTCCCCATGGCATGTATGTGGTGCTTGGGCAAATACATACTTAACACATACATGTGGTTGATGGACCGCACAAGACAGTCAAATCCACATTGTTTCCTAGCCTCAGTCCCTGTTGTGGTGGGTGCAGTTAATTGGGTAAAGCGTTTCTCACGCTTGGCACTGTTGACGTGGTGGGCTGGAGAATTCTTTGCTGTGGGGGCTGTTCTGTGCCCTGTGGGATGCTGAGTGGCACCCCTGGCCTCTGCCCACTCGAAGTCAGTAACAAGCCCCCTCCAGTTATGACAACCAAAAACTGTCTCCAGACATTGCCAGATGACCCCTGGGGGGTAAAATCACCCGTGGTTGAGAAGGACTAGTGTGAGGTAAAGGAGGGAGAGACTATAACCTTAGGAAAAAAGCGTCTCCCTCCCCACCCTTGTTTCTATGGTCAGTCTCCTCTAGAATAGTTTAGGGTATTTCTCCATGGACTGCCAGTGACTCTTAGTTCTGTGTTTTGACGTGGTCAGGAAATGATAAGTTCTAGTTCATCCACTAGTCTAGGTAACAGAATAGAAGGAATTACTAATTACTAATTTTTAAAGACTAGAGTACCTTAAAATATGTTGAATACTAGTGTTGTGATAAACATCCTTTCCTATTTCTCTGTGTTGATTCACTTTAAGTTCCGTTTGTATTTCTCATTCATTCTTTCGAACATCTTCTGTGACTGCTAGTGTGGGGATGTGTAGTCATCTGAGGGTCCTAGTTAATAGCTTCAGAATCAGGCGTTTTTAAATGTGGGCCATCCAGTCCCATTCTCTTATTTTATAGATGAGGGATCTGGGCAGCAGAGAGTTAAGCGGCTGTCCACTCATGGTCCTATAACTACTTGAGGGGCTGGAACAGAGCCCTGCTCAGTTATTTAATAAAGTACTCTTATTTTTCTACCTTGTTTAACCAATAAAAAATGAGTCAAGATGAATGCTTTGGGCACTGCTTTTTTAAGGGCGTCTGAGAGTAGATCAGTGCAAAGGATGACACAAGATTCCTGTAAAATTCTTTTAACCGTATCTGGGAAATGAAATATATTTCAAGAAGATAATTTAGGGGAGACAAATAGATGTGAGTCTGTTTGCATTGCTTCTTCCTGTAAGTGGCGCGTTCTGTAGCACCTGGAGGTGTTTTAAGTCTTGTGTGTACTTTCAATCAGCACGACAAACGTAAGAGCCAACCTCACATTTCCGAAGTGAAGGATGCTGCTGAACTTTATTTCCACACCCGTGCTCTCAGCAGTGGCATTAGTGAAGATCTTAACAGGATTGACCTGTATTTTTCTTCTTGAAAGTTAACCTACTATGCATCCTTTTGGGTTATTTTAAATTGCTGCTTCATGAATCTCTGTGTTCTAATATATACATATTTATCATTCTTCATTTTGAAAATATGAATACACTCTCATACATACATTGACTATTAAGAAATATCTATGGTGTATAGGTGCTTGTTATATTCTTTTTAGTACTTTTATGAACATTTGAAATATTTTATAGTAAGTGTTACTAGTTACAAACACTATTCTTCATGGAAATTAGACATTGATATAATACTCATTTATGGAGAGAATGGCTAAATGTTTGTGTGTGTGTTTGAAAAATTCTGGAAATCACTGGTAATACTTTATCAGTTTTTCTCCATTTCTGAGAGCAAGAGAAATGTTCTTTTAAATGACCTTCGCATTCATTAATATATATTCCTCAGCAATGTATTCTTTGTTAGAGAAGACTAACAAGGTTAGATATTTTAGGAAGAATTTACTAATTCATTCCAGTTCAGAGAAGATTGATCTGAAAAGTCTGAATAATAAGAGTTCAAAAAAAAGGCATGGTGCTAATATTGTCAATAGAGATAGGAGAAGCTGGGACAAGACAACTTGGAAAGGCTTTAAGAGACAGATATAGGTTTGAGTTTATTTGTTGTTTACTATAACCGATACTGTTTTGCTTTCTTAATAATAGCATAGCAATTGGACTCTTTCATAGAAGCCTAAATATATAGTTTATGAAGAGTTTTACTCTCCATTTCCTCCTCCAGCTTGTTCCGTTGGACCACATAAATGTAAACTAAGTCAGGACACTGATATTTCTACACGCGCCAACATGAAAGAGGGGGTGTCAGGAGTGACCTCAATTTGATAAATAATTCTTCTTTTCAGTGAGTGATGCTCTTGTTTCTTTCTTTCAATTTAACGCAATTTAGGTAAAGTCAGAAGAAGTCTTTGATGAGTGGGTATCCAAACTCCGCCACCACAGAATATTTCGTCAGAATGAAATCGCCATGTTTCCACACGAAGTTAATCACTTTTTCCCAGGATCCGCTGGCACAGACTCTCCGTCTGGGGCCTTGGACTCCATATCAAGTAGGAAGGTAATAATTTGCCAGTAATGAATTTAAACGGAGGGAGTGGCTTTGCATGGGGGCTGTGTCTGAGGAAGGAGAGGTTTGTGGGGAGGGAACAGGGTCAGCTTGAGCTGGTATTCAATGAGTCTGTTTGCCCAGCCGGTCAGAACCAGGGCCAGAGGAGCATCTGTTATCGCTGGGACAGAAACTGAAGAGTAGCACAGAAGGAGGAATTTTCTAGCCCTGAATGCTCCCTGTTTCTCTTGACTGGTTTAACTTTGCTTTTCCTATCTGGTTGTAAAATACAGTAGGTGCACGTACAGCCATACAGGATTGCAAAATTTGCCAACATTTATATCATTATTTTGGTATGATTATCATTTGACAGAAGGAGAAATTAAGGACTGCTGTCCAAGGCCTCATAGCATGGTGTGGCCAAGCCAGGGTGACCCCCAGAGCTTAGGGTCTCCAGTGGAGTGCTTTGCTAGAAGCTTCTTCCCATTACAAGCAGAGGGCTCCCATTAGCGACTAGCCCACTTTGTTATCCTTTACCCCAGCCTGTTCCCGCTGGGCTCTGTTTTCATTTCTAATGTGCTTTTGTCATCTGTGGAACAGCGTAGCAGTATCTCAAAGCAGAGTTCATTTCAAACTGGAAGCAATTTATCCTTTTCTTGTGGTGAGACACGAGTTCCACTATGGTTGCAGTCTTCAGAGGACATGGAAAAATGCTCCAAAGGTAGAGTGACTTTAAGCCTCTGCTTCTTTCTTTCTTGGCTCTTAGATTGTCCGGGCTTGGTGAATTTGTATCCTTCCCTGTCTCTGGTCTACATTCCCTCTCATATTTTTCTTATGAAGTTGGCACTCGTGATTGACAAAGGAGTCTTTCCTTCAGAGCTTTATGTCCTCACCTGGGTGTACATGCAGACAGGTTTCCTTTTCTGTTCTTTAAGGACTGATGCCTGGGGGCTGGCCCAGTGGCACAGCAGTTAAGTGCGCGTGTTCCACTTCGGCAGCCCGGGGTTCACCGGTTCGGATCTCGGGTGTAGACGTAGCACCACTTGGCAAGCCATGCTGTGGTAGGCGTCCCACATATAAAGTAGAGGAAGATGGGCACGGATGTTAGCTCAGGGTCAGACTTCCTCAGCAAAAAGAGGAGGATTGGCCGCAGATGTTAGCTCAGGGCTAATCTTCCTCAAAAAAAAAAAAAAGGACTGATGCCTGATTTCCACATGGGCCTACTAAATCACAGTCCCTGGGGTGGGGTCTGCACAGCCCTCCATTTTTTAAGTGCCAAAAATGATTCTGATGTACATCCAGGATTAAGAATCATTGTTCTGGAGGTGAGAGGGTGAACCAAATGGAGATCCCCACAAAACAGGTGTCCTCTACCCTGGCTGAATCACCAAGAGAGCTTTTCAAATGCAAGGATACCCATGCCTAGGCCCCCTCCAGAACAATCTTTTTAGATTGGTCTGGAGTGGGTCCTGGCATCACTGATTTTCTAAAGTTCCCCCAAGTGATTCTGTTAAGGAGCCAGCACTGAGAACTCTTGCCATAAGGAAGCTCAGTGTTCTCAACCTTGATTAGCTGAGAGTCACCCAGGGAACTAAAAAACAAAAAACTCACCGGTGGGTTTTGGGGTGTTCTGATTTAATTGTGTGGGTCTGGACTTGGACATAGTAATTTAAAAATCTTCCCCAGTTCATTTGAAAGTGTAGCCATGATTGAGAACCACTGTTAGAGAAAGCTGCCAGATGGTAGCCTTGAAAATTGCATTTTCTCCTGTTGCAAATATTATCACATCTGGAGCCATATAGGTTTGGTTCTCCCGGTAAGTATCACTCGTGAGCTTCACTGAGTGACGTTTTGGGGCAGTAATCCTTGAAGTGTTGCCTCTGGACCAGCAGCATTGGCCTAGCCTGTGAACTTACTAGAAATGCAAATGCTCAAGCCCAACCTAGATAGCCTGAATCAGAAACTGGGGGTGGATCCCAGCGATCTGTGGTTGAAGAAGTTCTCCAGATGATTCTGATGATACCAAAGTTTGAGAGCCACTGTCTTAAGGCATTCGGGCTGTGAGTCCTCAGCAGAAAGAGCCATCGTCATCCAGTGAACAGCAAATTGAGGACTCTCTTTTGAGTTAGTGACCCAGGAACTGGTCCGAGAATGCTCTTAGGTCCTCTCAGGTCAGTCTGTGGAGGATCATCATGATCCTCATGCAGATCTGTGATCGACAAAGTTATCGTTTGAGATCAAGGCGACCTTCATTTTAGTTTCATTCATTTGACTTGTATGGGTTCCTTATAAGTGGATAGTGACACCCTATTATTGCAGTGTTAGAAATGATGATGATGGGGCCGGCCTGGTGGTGCAGCAGTTAAGTTCGCACGTTCCGCTTCTCGGTGGCCCGGGGTTTGCCAGTTCGGATCCCAAGTGCGGACGTGGCACCACTTGGCACGCCATGCTGTGGTAGGCGTCCCACATATAAAGTAGAGGAAAATGGGCATGGGAATTAGCTCAGGGCCAGGCTTCCTCAGCAAAAAAGAGGAGGATTGGCAGCAGTTAGCTCAGGGCTAATCTTCTTCTAAATAAATAAATAAAAGAAATTATGATGGCGGTGACGATAATAGCTGATTTATTTAGTGCTTACAATGTGCCAGTACTCTAAAAGCACGCTGCATACATTAACTCATTTATCTCACAACTATCCTGTGAGCTTGTTGTACAATTATCCCCATTTTCCAGATGAGGAAACTGAGGCAGAGAACTTATGTAATTTGCCCAAGATTCTAAGTGTGTTCAAACTGAGACAGCCTGCTTCTCCACATCCATGCCCCTAACTGCAACAGTCTACTGCCTCTCCTGTAAAAAACAGAAGTAAAATTTCCTATCCTTACAGATGTAAATCAAAAATAAATTAGAAAAGTAGCTGGCACTAGCATAATGAAACCTGAATGCCAAGATAAGTGCTTTTGAATCCCCATTTTGCTTTTCTCCCCCAGACCTGGCACACTGTCATGCCTACCTGGTGGAAATGAACCAGCTCCTCCAGAGTATGGACGTCCTGCATCGGACATACTCGGCACCAGCTATCAACGCCATCCAGGTTAGCCAGATCCCTCTTCTCTTTGCATTCCGGCATTTTTCTGCTTTGCTTTCTCCTCCCCAGCCTTTCACTAACAGTGGGATGTTGTCTGGTCGGTGGCGTCAGCCAAATTCGAGGGGATGGAGGCGGTCACTTGGCCGTGCATTTTTCCCTATTGGTTTGGTGGACCTTACTGTCTGTGCTCTCTTTCCTGTTTTGAAACAAAGGGTGGAGCTTTTGAAAGTCCCAAAAAGGAGAAAAGATCACACAGGAGGTGGCGGTCCAGAGCTATTGGCAAAGATGCTAAAGGAACGCTGCAGGTAACCATGGCCTCTCCCAATAGGCCGGTTTCTTCATTGGCCCTGCTCTCCATGCCACATGCTGGGGCATAGACAAACAGGAGAATAGACAAGTGAATATTCTATAGTTAGTCTCTCACATACTCTCTGCAGAGAGATGAATTCAGTCACTTAGATTTTCTGGATGTTAGAGTCGGCATGTAATGGATATTCGGTAAGAGAAGAACAGCATGAGGCTGGAGGGATGGCAGCCATTTCTAGGACTTTGGTTCCCCCTCTTTAATGCACAGTCTGCCTGCCCTCTTCCTGCTTGGGTGTGCACTCTGACCCACCTCTTCTGCTGCTGCTCAGTGGATTCATCATCTTTCTGAGCCAACTGGAGTCTTTGGGAGCAGGACATTGTGCAGGCTCTCTTCCCTCTTGTCTCCAACCTCCAAATCCCCCATCACAAGTTCTAGCCGCTGACTTTCCCCATGCACAGCTAAGCCAGAGGTCAAGATTTGTAGCTTGGCCATTGCATGTGAAATTGCTACTTGTTAGGGTCAGAATAAATCAGAAACTTACAGATAAATCATCTGCTATACTCTTCTGTACTCTTTGGTTCAAAGCACTGTATGGGTTGAACTTAAATACTTTGAAAGTAAAGAGTGATTTGTGTACAAACATGTGAAAAGTTAGTTCTTTTTATAGAACCATCATGTGCAAATAAAGAAAACATTTTAAACCTATCCACTATTAGCCTCGATACTGGATGATGATTGCCAGGAGGAAGGGATTGAGTATACTGGGGAAGAGCCTGGTAGCTTTAGCTGTCATTTTCAACCTATAGCTTTAATGCTGTCATCATTTCCAAAAGAATATGTGACTCTCACCCATTTTTATTTTGCAAGAAGCCAGTACAGTGGGCCAGCCCCGTGACGCAACCGTTCAATTCACACCTTCCACTTCGGCAGCCTGGGGTTCACCAGTTCAGGTCCCGGGTGTGGACCTACACACCGCTTGTCAAGCCACACTGTGGCAGGCGTCTCACATATAAAGTGGAGGAAGATGGGCATGGTTGTTAGCTCAGGGCTAGTCTTCCTCAGCAAAAAGAGGAGGATTGGCAGCAGATGTTAGCTCAGGGCTAATCTTCCTCCCCCGCAAAAAGAAAAAGCCAGTGCAAGTTGCTGTAGAGCATGCTTTCAGTAGAAAGACTTACCTATAAAATGTTCTTCTCTTACTCATTTCCAATCTTAGAAACAAGTAAATATTCCAAGTGTTTTGCATCTGAAAAGAAATATCTCCCTTTGGTATCATTTCAGGTTCCTAAACCTTTCTCTGGCCCAGTAAGACTGCATTCCTCCAATCCTAATTTGTCAACGCTAGATTTTGGAGAAGAGAAAAATTATTCCGATGGCTCTGAAACCTCATCAGAATTTTCTAAAATGCAAGAAGACCTCTGTCATATTGCCCATAAAGGTAAATGAGTTTTCTTTCTTCCTAATGTGTTTGATGAAAATGTCAAATGCATGTCTGAATGTGGGATGTCTTTGGAGAAGCTATCTTAGTTGGTTCGTTTTCTGCTCTATTAGGATTTTGGGCAATCTAATTTTTGTTTTATTTTATTTCCCTGTCGGGAGGAAGTATATTAGCAAGAAATTTCTTTTTAACCCCTTAGGGGAGATAGTGAACATTAGATATCCTTTAAAAGCTGAGCAATTCATATGCTGCTCATGGGAGGGTAAACTGGTACTTTTCTGGAGGGCACTATGGTATTATGGTTCAACTTTTTTTTAATCTTCCTATCTTGTGATTCTACTTTGAAGAATTCACTTGTAAAAATTAAAGTTTCTCCAAATAAAGATATCCATCATAGCATTGTTTATCATATCAAAAATTAGAAATAGCTTCATTAGCCATCAGGGTAATGCAAATTAAGGCCATGATAAGATATTATTGTACCCCTATTAGAATAGGTAAAAAAACCCCCAAAAAACCAATACCAGATGCTGGTGAAGATATGTAGAAACTGGATCTCTAATGCATTGCTGGTGGCAATGCAAGATGGTATAGCCACTCTCAAAATAGTTTGGCATTTTGTATGAAAGTAAATGTACACTTACCGTACAACCCCACATTCACATTCCTGGGCATTTATCTCAGAGAAATGAAAACTTAAGTCCACACAAAAACCTGTACACTAATGTGCAGAGCAAGTTTATTTGCTTTAGCCAAAGACTGGGACAACCCTAGTGTCCTTCAACAAATGAGTGGTTAAGCAAATTGTGGGACACCCATACAATGGAATACTACTCAGCAATAAAGAGGAGCGAACTATGGATACACGCAACAAGTTGAAGGGATCTCAGGGGCATTATGCTGACTGAAAATAGCCCATCTCAAAAGGTTACATAGTGTTTGATTCCACTCATGTAACACTTGAGAAGGAGTAAAATTATAGAGTTGGAAAAAAGATTAATGGTGGCCAGGGATTAGGGACAGAGACGAGGTATAGGGGAGGAGTATGGGTGTGATTATAAAGGGTAGCAAGAGGGATCTTGGTGGTGATGGAAAGTTCTGCATCATGATCGTGGTGGTGGTTCCATGAATCTACACGTGTGAGAAAATTGCATTGACCTGTGTTTACACACGCATACACAGACGAGAGCATGTAAAACTGGTGAAATCTGAAGAAGAGCCATAGATTATGCCAGTATCAGTTTCCTGGTTTTAATATTGTACCGTAGTTATGTAAGACGTTGCAACTGTGGGAAACTGGATATAGGTACCCATGACTTCTTTGTACTATTTTTGCAACTTCCTGTGAATCTGCAATGATTTCAAAATGAAGTTTTTAAAAAATCAGAAATAACCTAAATGCCCAACAGTGGGGAATTGAATTGTTTTGATGCAGTCTAGTCATATAATAGAATCCTCAACAGCCACAATAATAAAAATAGCTACCTTTTACTGAGCACATAGCTGTCATGTCGGATATTTGCTAAGCACTTTACATGCACTGTTTCATTTAATTCTAGCAGCAACCTATGGACTAGGTATTATTGTAATCTTCATCCCACAGACAAGAAACCTGAGGCTTAGAGAAGCTGAAGAGCTTCCTGAGGGTCACATGGTAGACAGTGGCCGACCTGACACTTGAATCCTAACCTGCCTGCCCCAGAGTCTGTTCCTCCCCTGGTGTCTTGCTGCCCATACAGATGGCGTGGCCATGGTTGTTTTTATAGATGTAGAAAGATGTTCACAGTATATCATTGAGTAAAAATATAGGTCAAAAAACAATATATAGGGATGATCCCATTTTTCTGGAAAAAATAAACTCTATAAATCCAGTATATATAGGCATACTAAAAAGTCTGGAAGGATACACGCCAGCGTTTTAGTGATGGAGGCTGGAGTTACAAGTACTTATTATCTTATTTCTGCTTATATTGTTTTTAATTTCATGTATTTAACATTTTCTTAAGGGAGAAAGTGAATTAAAAATTTTTAAATGGGAGGGCAGGGCCTGAATCGGGAGGAGAGAAGATAGTCCCTCTGTTGCCTTCCTCTCCTAGCCCCGTATTCTCCTTCCTTCACGTTATTGATTCCTTCCGCTCTTTTCCCTTACCCTGCAAGCCTAAGTCATGGTGGTTATGAGAAAAGCATTTCATGCTCTTTATAAATTCCCACCTCAGACTTTGTCTTCGTTCCCATTGGCATTTTGCAGAAGTGCTGTTGTACAATCCATCTGTAAAATGGAGAGACTTCCCTGCCCACCCCTCCAAGCTCTGCACACCCCCTCGTGTGCTCTCGAGCATTGAAGGGTCAGTTGTCATTCAGGCATTGCGTTTGAGGCTTTCTAGGAGGAACCTCCTGTAACATACTATTACTCTTTAATAATATGAACTGTCTTTAAAAACAAGAAGACGGTACCTCCCTGAAGAAGGGAAATATGCCGGATTTTGCCTGCATTGAAGACGCTGCTTCCCGCAGGACAGAGGTCACCATCGTGAGTCGATCCGCTGGCCCAGTCCCCTGCAGGGGCCCAGCCTTGTGGAAAGTCTGTTATGGGCCTCAGCCAGCTGTTCCGTTTTTCGGGCTTTGTGAAAACCAGCTGGCTGCAGAGCTGCCACGTACCTAGACTAGGTCAAGGTTGTGCTTCAGGAAACGTTTGTGCTTATTCAGCAAGAGCCTGTGCCCCCTGGGCTCGCAGACGGTGCATTCCAGAGGGAGTCTGGGAAGCTGGGGTTCATTGCTGGGGTTTTGAAGTGCACTGGCCAGACGGACAGATGGCCGGGAGTCCCTGTACACAGGCCGTACCTCAGAGGCCTCGTGGAATAAAGCTAGTTCTCAGGTTTGCCTTGAGTCCTGCGACCTGGCCTGTTTTCTCACTTCCATGCTTTCAAACTCAGAGCATCTTGACCTGTTTCCTGTTAAACCTGGTTTTGTTCCTGCTGGTTCTATTGTACTTTCTTGACTGCATCACAAATCTGTTGACTGATTCTGGAGCAGCTGAACGAAAGCAAGGATTCCACTGATGCTGAAACTTAGTCTGTGTTACCTACTTTTCCTTCGCCTTGTTACGTGCATCTGAATTCTCCCTATTTTGTAGGAGTTAGATCAGTTGGTAGGCGACCAATATATACCCAGCATAGTGGAAAAAGTCCTTGTTACAGACTGTAAATTTGCTTTTTATGGCATGTCATTGAACTAATTCTCATCAGTTGTGTGTCTGGCTTTGTGTGTATGTTGACACACATATGAGCCAAGAGACAACAAAACGTACTGAAACTTCAATGTCATTAAGTAATTTACGTTGCATATGTTAGCTTTTACATTTCCCAAAAATTTATTTTATAGGTCACTTTACCCATAAAATGCGTTAAAAAACAAAAGGAATTTCATGACTGAAAATGTTTGGAAAACTGCTCAGTGTGGTCCTCTGCATTTACCAAAGAAACAGTACACGTTAAAGGCCCTGATAAGTCCCGCAGTAAAGGACTCTGTTAGCTTTGTTTAACTCAATGATTTTCAATGTTATTTGGGAAACTGCCCCCCATCTGTTAACACCCTAGAACTAAAGTTCTGAGAGACATACTTCAGGAAACACTGTAAATAATAAGGCTTTTTGGAGCGAATCCTGTGTCCTGGCTGAGTCAGAAGACAGGCTTTCTAGGCCGTGTCTGTTACTGACTTTGACCTGGCTGGTTAACCTCTCTGGGCCTCAGTTGCCTCATTGTGTCCTAAAGTAGTTGTCCTGACTCTTTTGGCTCTCAAATTCTGTAATTATCTTCTATGAGTAATTATTCTACACTGAATAGAAATAATTCCTACTGTTGCTTACTGTTACAAGGAGATTTTATGCGGGAGTGTTCTCTAAGTAATAAAAACAGAAATGACCAAATCTGGTGAGCAGATTTAGGATGAGAAAGCAATGAATAGTAAAGGACTGGGGTGGGGACCACAGGTGGAAATGGATATTCACGTTCTGCCTTGAAAGGGAAAAAATGAAGTTTTACTGGTACTTTTCCTGCAACCTGTGGAAAGTGTCTTCAGTGGGAGAAATCTGCATTTGCAAATGGAAAGACTAAAAGTAGAACAAATGTAAACTCCAGTAAATTATTTGTTATTCCTTTGTTTCTGCATTCTTTTCCTGTGTTGAGTTTTAATTGAATCGTCATTTTCTGAACTGTTTTGAGCTTATGGAAGCATTGAATAAAAAGCCAAGTATGTCACAGTGACATCACTATCATAGATTGAAAGCTACAAGATATACATGACTTGGGCCAGCCCGGTGGCACAGTGGTTAAGTTTGCACGTTCCACTTCGGCAGCCCAAAGTTCTCTGGTTGGGATCCTGGGTGTGGACCTACACACCGCTTGTCAAGCCATGCTGTGGCAGACGTCCCACATATAAAATAGAGGAAGATGGGCATACATGTGAACTCGGGGCCAGTCTTCTTCAGCAAAAAGAGAAAGATTGGTGGCAGATGTTAGCTCAGGGCTAACCTTCCTCAAAAAAAATATAGATATGGGGCCGGCCCTGTGGCCGAGTGGTTAAGTTCGTGTGCTGTGCTTCAGCAGCCCAGGGTTTCACCAGTTCGAATCCTGGGCACGGATGTGGCACCGCTCATCTAGCCATGCTGAGGTGACATCCCACATGCTACAGCTAGAAAGACTCACAACTAAAAATACGCAACTATGTACCGGGGGGCTTTGGGGAGAAAAAGGAAAAAAAATATATATATGTATACACACACATGACTTAAAGAAAAGCCAGATCATTTATAAAACATAGTTTAGAATTCAGCATAAAAATCTTCTGAGTAATTGTATTTATGTAAATTATCAGGAAATAAGGAGAACCATTTAATTAAATTACATAATGTCCCTAAATCAAAGAATCATTTGGATACATTATGAATTAGCAAGTATTTTAAAACCATGGACATCCTGTGAGGTTTGCAAATTGGAGGAAGC